AACTACCTCAATACGGTATTAATATATAACGACCTCAATACGGTATTAATATATAACTACCTCAATACGGTATTAATATATAACTACCTCAATACGGTATTAATATATAACGACCTCAATACGGTATTAATATATAACAACCTCAATACGGTATTAATATATAACTACCTCAATACGGTATTAATATATAACCACCTCAATACGGTATTAATATCTAACTACCTCAATACGGTATTAATATATAACGACCTCAATACGGTATTAATATATAACGACCTCAATACGGTATTAATATATAACGACCTCAATACGGTATTAATATATAACGACCTCAATACGGTATTAATATATAACTACCTCAATACGGTATTAATATATAACGACCTCAATACGGTATTAATATATAACGACCTCAATACGGTATTAATATATAACTACCTCAATACGGTATTAATATATAACTACCTCAATACGGTATTAATATATAACGACCTCAATACGGTATTAATATATAACGACCTCAATACGGTATTAATATATAACGACCTCAATACGGTATTAATATATAACGACCTCAATACGGTATTAATATATAACGACCTCAATACGGTATTAATATATAATTACCTCAATACGGTATTAATATATCGCCCAGCCCTACTTTAGATCTCGATGCAGTTTGTACAGTAAATGTTGTACATTCATATTTTATCTTAATTTCTTTCATTCTTACTTTGGCTTTCATTGTCTCTGCTTTTCTTGTTTTCACAACCCATCCGCTCGCCCTTGCAGTCGTCCTCTGTCCGCCGTGACGTTCAGCATCCCATTCGGGCTGGACAGTGATGTAGACATTGTGATGGGAAACCCCATAGATGCTGTCTTTCGCTCTGTCAGCACCGACAACCTCTCCACCGGCATCCCAGCGATGACCACCTCTGTGACGGGGAAGCCTTGTGTCCCGTACGGTCCTCCAGAGGAACTGAGCCACCTGGTCAGCACTTCAGCCCCATCGCAGCGCTCGTCCTGGGGCCCTTACGCCCACACAATGCCCCTGGGAGAACTGCCCACCATCGAGGAGGCCCTGCAGGTGGTGCAGACCCCCAAGAAGGGAAGGGCACCAGAGAAAAGTGGAAAAGGAGTGTTGGGATCGAGACCCGAGCCAAGGTTACGTCCTGAAGGAGCCCCGGCTGGTTTCTTCCTGCACTCCCCCGACGAGGATCAGCTCAGCAGCTCCGCTCCCTGTCGCTCCGGAGTCCTCCATCGGCCGGTTGGTGGGGAAGCGGGAGGCAATGAAAGGCGAGGAAGAGGAGAGAGGAAGGAGAGGTCAGGACGGACCTCCGATATGTCCCGTGATGACGACTCTGTTCTGCGAGATGGCAGCGTTGACTCCTCTGAAGCGTCGGATGATACGCCCAGAAACGCCCCGGGGAACATGCGACCAGGCGGCGGACGGCAGGGAAGCAACAGCAACAGCAACAGCAACAGTCCACGCATGACAAGCTTTGCAGAGCGCCGGGATCACAGAAGAAGACAGCCTGCTGCTGCTGGAGAGGAGTCGGCCTCTGCTCCAACAACACCAGGGACTCCTCACACACCCTCCACCCCAGCAGGGGCACTGGGACACCAGGACAGCCCCGGCTCCAGAGGCCCTGAACCGGGCTCTGAGGTCTGGGAGTTAGGCGCTCGTCTGGAGGAGAAACGCAAAAGCATCGAAGCCCAAAAAAGACGGATCGAAGCCATCTTTGCCAAGCACCGACAAAGGCTCGGGAAAACTGCCTTTTTGCAACTGAAAAGAGCGCAAGGGGAGGGGGGAGGGGCGGGAGCCGAGGAGGCTAGTCTCACCCTGGAGGAGAGCCTCACTTGTATGGAGGCGCAACTGAAACAGGAGGAGGAGAGGGAAGAGAAGGAGAAAGAGAAGCCGTCTGTGTCCAACCCTCCTCGGTTAGAGAAGCAGGTCACATTCTCCATTGAGAGTAAGAAGGTTCCAGAGAAGGTCGGAGAAGCTGCTTTCGTGGAGTGCAACGAGGTGGTGCAGAAACTGAGTGAAGCTCTGCAGTCTCTACAGAAGGACATGCAGAAACTCACAGAACAGCAGCAGCAGCTCATGAGCAACCAAAAACCCACAAACACATCCAGAACCGCGTCCAAATCTACACCTAGAAGTGCCGCCAAAACACCCCCTCACACTCCGACAAAGACACCTCCAAGAACCCCAACCAAGTCTTCTTCGAGGAGCATCAGCAAGGCCTGGGTGATCCCTGATCCCGGTGCTGCAGACTCCCCGTCCCGGCGCTCTCACCTTCTTCCCCTCTCCGCCTCCCCAAAGACTATCATGTCGTCCTCCTGCCCGACTCCCCGCACAAAGATCCAGTCCTCATCGTCTCACCGCAGCCCGAAGCACCACCCTCGTGCCCAAAATCCGCCTCACCCAAGACCCTCCGAACTAAAGTTTCCCACATACAACCGGGCCTTGGCACCGACACACAACGTGGACACCCTCCCCCATTTGAGGCGGGTTTCCCCTAGCAAGTATCAGGATCAGTCGTCCTCTTCCTTCCGAATCGGCGGGCCTCGGACGCCTGAAGACTCTCTGCAGGGTGTCCAGCAGCCGCAACACGACGGAAACACCTCGGACACGGCCTCCAGTGAGACCCCGACTCAGTTCAGCATGGAGCTGGAAGACATGGAGGCTGTGGGAGGGCTGCCGGTCTTACCTCGACACGACCGCCAGACAGGTAGAAGCAGCTCCGGAGCGCCCTCCGAGTGCTCGTTTGAGAGCGAGTCCTTGTCTCTATCTGCTGCTTTAGGCGCAGTAGGTGCAGGGAAAAGATGCAGCATGATTGAGGTGTCGCGGTCCTCTCTCGGAGGGCCGGAGGGGGGCAGCGACGTGCCGACCGATGAAGGGCAGGAGTTTTCTTCTGATTCTATGAGCGACCACATGGAGTCTGGGGTGGAACCTGCTGGAGGACTCGCTGCTGAACCTCTGGACCCCGTAGAACAGCAGCTGGACCTGGCAGCAGGAGGTGGTTGTTTGCCCGAACAGGAAGCTGAAACCAAAGCAGAACCGACGGAAACTTTGGAAGAAAGTATTGAGCAGAATGAGCCCGGGCCAAGAGGAGGGATCGGATTCTTCTTTCAGGTGAGTGATGGCGAAACAACATAGAGGTGAACAGAGATTTAATTACAGCAGGAGTGAAGGGATCAAGGGATGAAGGAAGGGAATAACGAAGGGCTAAAGGTATCAAGGGATGTACGGACGGAGGGAGGAAGGGATGGATAAATGAAGGGATGTAGGTATGAATTCATGTAGCTAGGGTTTAAGGGATATAGGTATCAAGATATTTAGGGAAGGAGGGATAAATGTATGAGGAGATGTAGGAAGGGAGGGATTAAGGGATGTATGGATGTATGTGTGAAGGGGTGTAGGGATGAATCGATAAATGGAGGAAGGAAAGTAGGGTGGAAGGATGAAGGGATGTAGTGCTGAGGGGATGTAGTGCTGAGGGGATGTAGTGCTGAGGGGATGTAGTGCTGAGGGGATGTAGTGCTAAGGGGATGTAGTGCTGAGGGGATGTAGTGCTGAGGGGATGTAGGAATGAAGGCAATAATTGATGAAGGGATGAAGCTAGGGAGGGATCTAGGGAAGTAGGGATGAAGGGATCATGGAAGTGAGGGATGCAGTAGGGACGGGATGTACGGGTGAAAGGATGCAGGGATAAAGGGAAGAATTGATGAAGGGATGAATTGATGAAGGGAAGAATTGATGAAGGGATGAATTGATGAAGGGATGAATTGATGAAGGGATGAATTGATGAAGGGATGTAGCTAGGGAGCGATAAAGGTACGTAGGGATGATGGGAGAGAGGGATGAAAGTATGTAGTAGGGAAGGGATATAGGAATGAAGGGATGAAGGAATATTCATAACCTCAGTTAACTGTTAACTGCCATGACAGTCGATATATGATGCTGTTTGTGTGTTTGTGTGTTTGTGTGGTTGTGTGTTTGTGTGGTTGTGTGTTTGTGTTTATGATGCTGGTTGTGTGGTTGTGTGTTTGTGTGGTTGTGTGGTTGTGTGGTTGTGTGTTTGTGTGGTTGTGTGTGTGTGTGGTTGTGTGTTTGTGTGGTTGTGTGTGGTTGTGTGGTTGTGTGGTTGTGTGTTTGTGTGGTTGTGTGTTTGTGTGGTTGTGTGTTTGTGTTTATGATGCTGGTTGTGTGGTTGTGTGGTTGTGTGGTTGTGTGTTTGTGTGGTTGTGTGTGTGTGTGGTTGTGTGTTTGTGTGGTTGTGTGTGTGTGTGTGTGTGTGTGGTTGTGTGTGTGTGTGTGTTTGTGTGGTTGTGTGTGGTTGTGTGGTTGTGTGTGTGTGTGTGGTTGTGTGGTTGTGTGGTTGTGTTTGTGTGTTTGTGTGGTTGTGTGGTTGTGTGGTTGTGTTTATGATGCTGTGTGTGTGTTTGCAGGGAGATGTGCACAGTGACGAGGAGATGACCCAGCGCAGAGCTCTGCTTCTGGAGAAACAGCAGAGGAGAGCGGAGGAGCTGAGGAAGAGGAGGCAGGAGAACGAGCAGGAGAGGGAGAACAGGTAACACCACCCTCGCTGTAGATGAAGGTGGTGAAGTCACCAGTTTCCAGTTTCAAGGCTTTATTGTCATTTGCACATTAGCTACAGTGATATGGAGATGAGAAACTGAACAGAGCAACATGAATATATATAGAGGACATAGAACAGATAAAACAGATCAAATAGTGAAGAGAATGTTTTCAGATGCAATTAATACAAATAGAATAGAATAGAATAGAAATAGTGCAAGAAGAGTAAATGGAACGATATATTAGATAAATAATTAGCTAAATGCAAACAGATGAATGTTTATGGGTGTTCTTTAAAAAGTTCAGGTGTTTAGTTGTCTTATGTCAAAGTAACCCCACTGCTCTTTGTTTCAGACCCTCCTCCACCCCCCCTGCAGGCCACACCTCCCCCTCCCCCACTCCTCCAGATACACCCTTCAGGCGCGGGAACTTCACGAGACTGGAGTACGATCGGCGGCATCAGCTCAAGATCATGGACAACTTTGACAAAATGCTCCAGGAGAAGCTGAGCAGTCATGGCCGATCCTCTGGGAAGAAGAGCAGGTCCCGTCCCCGCAGTATGACCCGCGAGGAGACCAAGCTGTCTCTGAGTCCGGCCAAGGGAACCACGGGTACTGAAACCATCGTTTTTATGAATGTAGTTCAGGGGAAACCCAAAAAGAGGATTAGGGCCTCTCCGTCCTCAAAAACAATTGAGCGACCAATCAGAATCAAGTGTTCCACTAAGCCAGGTTTTCATTTCTTATTATGTCTTTTTCTCCAGGCGCTAAGTTGACCAAAGTCCACTCCAACCCCTCCCTCAACCTGACCGCGACGGACGAGCCCGGGAACAGAACCCCCCCCAAGAAAGCCCCAAGGTAAACTGCTGCAGAGATGTATATATACTTTATTCATATTTACTTCCATTAACACCGCAGCGCAGCCTGAGGGATGGGAGTGTCTTCATAGCTCAATTGTTCAGTGGAATATCTCTCCTAATATTGAATGGATTGCCATGATATTTATATGATATTTATAGGATATTTATATGATATTTATATGATATTTGTATGATATTTATATGATATTTATATGATATTTATATGATATATATATGATATTTGTATGATATTTGTACAAAAGCTCCTGTATTAGCATTGTGTAGCACCTGAGTGTATAGCATGGTAAGTGAAGGATCTCATACGAATGCTAAAATGCTATGCTATGTCATCATATAACACAACCCAGTCTCACAGCATTTCGTGTTATTAGTCACGAAATTAATTTAATCTATTGATTCGTGTTCACCAACACGATTTTCGCATTTTTTTCGTGTCACACAGAACGATTTTAAATGCAATGTATTTCTATTGGTAGTATGTTTCGTGCCTGCAACACGTCTTTTTGTCCGGTCGGGTCTTGGAAGACCAGAAGCTGTGTGGTTCATAAAAACATGTTCTTACTCAATATCTTACCCTAAGCCTAATCCTATCCCTTTTATTTTAAATTGTATAATGTCTGAGTTTTTTTGCCGTAAGTGAGGAAAAGAAATGTCTCAGAGCCTCAGAATACTGACATCTGTATTTGATGTCATCTTTTTTTCCTTCTAATGTGTTATTATTTGGTGCAGGCACGAAACATACTACCAATATAAATACATTGCTTCTAAAATCGTTCTGTGTCAGAATACTGAAATCTGTATTTTTTTAAATGTCTTTTTCCTTCTAATTTGTTATTATTTACATTGCTTTTAAAATCGTTCTGTGTGACACGAAAAAAATAGCAAAATCGTGCTGAACACGAATCAATAGATTAATTTTGTGACTATAACACGAAATGCCGTGAGACTGGGTTGGATAACATCACCTTTCTAAATGTAAATACAATTCTTTCTTTCTAGTGTCTATGAAGAATTGAAATGATGTATTTTCAAATTGCAATTAAGAAAGAAGTCCCTTTGGATGATCATTTTATATATTATAGATACTTTTCACTCATATGTATGCATGTTGTGTCCTGTGCTAACATTAGCATGATGCTATGCGATAGTTAGCTCTGGTGCGTTTATATCAAACAGAAATGATTTGCTGTTCCTCCCCCAGTCGTCCTGACTCGCCCTTAGTTTGTGTGACTCCGAGTAAACTGGTGAATCAGAACGGAGACAAAGACAGTGAGACCTCAGCGGCCCCGGAGTACACAGGTGCAGTACTAATACCTGTTATTGAGTATATATATTGTCAAAGTACTTGTGTTAGTACTCAGGTTGGAGCCTGTGTTTGTGTCTCAGGTCCCAAACTGTTCAAAGAGCCGAGCTTCAAGTCCAACAAGTTCATCATCCACAACGCCCTGTCGCGCTGCTGCCTCGCAGGGAAGGTCAACGAGACGCAGAAGAACAAGATCGTGGAGGTACGGCATTCATTTGACTCTCAGAGAAACACACAGTATTTAACCCTTAATGTGATTTCCATTTCCATTACAGATCCTGCTCAAAGGTTTCACTTCAGTTGTTTCAATGTGTAAATGTACTCATAAATACCAGGGGGTTTTCTGTGGTACTGTGTCTGATCTTGTTTATAAGATATATCAACATGATATATCAACATGACGCCCGTAAACAAGATGTCTCCGCGGACGTAAACAACAACGTGACGTAAACAACAACGTGACGTAAACAACAACGTGACGTAAACAACAACGTGACGTCGGAGCCCCGTAGAAACCAAGCTGTCTCTGCGTCTGACGCTCTGTTTGAGACTCAGATTTCTGGAGTCGTTATACAGTCTTTGAAGAACTGACATGTTGTTTTCTGGTTATACTATCTTTACTTGGTTCGCTAAATAAAGTCTGTGACTGTTGTTTTGTATTGTATGATATCTTATGTACAGGGAGGGAGTTAGGGGGTTACATTTGTGTGTGGAAAAACAAAATGCCAGAAAAATGTCTCGTGATAGAAATAACAAAATGGACACTAAGTAAAGATGAAACACTGAAGGCAGATAAAGGTATAATGATGTTGTTGCTCGCCCTCAGGAGATGGAGAAGAGTCCCGCTCACCACTTCCTGATCCTCTTCAGGGACTCCAGCTGTCAGTTTCGGGGCGTTTACACCCTGAACCCGGACTCTCAGGATCTGGTTCGTCTGACGGGAGTCGGCCCGCGCTCCGTCAGCTCAGCACAGGTGGAGCACATCTACAAATACAGCTCGGACAGGAAGCAGTTCAGCGCCATCCCCTCCAAGACCATGGGCATGAGCGTGGACGCCTTCACCATCCCTGGCAGCCTGTGGCATGGAGGAGGAGCAGGAGGAGCAGGAGCAGGAGGAGCAGGAAGTCGCAGGGCCAGTGTCAACAAGAAGGCCGTCACCTCCAAGTGAGACACTCGGAGAAAACTGTTTCCAATTTATAGGAAGATGAGACGTTATGTGACAGGGCTGCACCATCTGGGGATACTTATATACGTAGTTATTTTAAATAATTGTGCAACTACGATATGATTCTGGATCTAATATGGATTGATCATCTTTAAAACATGTTCAGGTCTGAGCAAAAAGTCAGACAGTTAAGAAAATAATCTGAAATGTATGTAAAAAAATCTAAATTCTGAGAAAAAAGTCCAAATGTAGAACCGAATGGAGAACCAAATGTAGAACCAAATTCAGAGAGAAAATGATCTAAAATGTGCTATGTCAAAATACTAAAAAGATAATCCGAATTTTGGCACAAAAATCGGTGAAAAATATAAAACAATTCAGAAAAAAGTCAAAATTCTCAATACTCAAAAATGATGAACTGTTGGTCATGTGACCCCATGTCACTTGTGGCCTAATACTCTTCTGGATACTGAATGATCATGGTGTGATTTCTTTAGAGGATTTTAGTCTCCGCTGCTCCACGATACTCCACGTTCTGATTTGGAGCAGCAGGAGGTCGAAGTGAGACACGTGCACGAAGTTTCAGAGAAAACTGTTTCTAAATATGTGGTTTATATGCAGGTGAGACGTTATGTGACAGGGCTGCACCATCTGGGGAGGATGACTAGTTGTGATTATTTTAAATATTTGTGCAACAACGATATGATTCTGGATCTAATATGGATTGATGATTGAAATTGAAATGTTATTCACAGTATTATTGAGAAGTATATTGACAGGAGAGGATCAGGGCCACAGATGAAAAGACGTTGAGATCTGACCAAAAGACAATTTCGTTTTTAGTTTGGAGAAAAAAGTCAGAATTCTGAGGAAAGAAATTCTGGTTCTTGAAATAAAATTCTGAGAAAAAAGTCAACATTTGGAGAAAAAAGTCAACATTTGGAGAAAAAAGTCAACATTTGGAGAAAAAAGTCAAAATGTGTAATGTCACGATTCACAAAAAAATAAATCTGAACTTTGGGACAAACGTCAACATTTGTAATGTCAGAACAACGTGTGGCCCTGATGCTCTTCTGTGCACTGAATGGTGGGACTTTTTTGTAAAGGATTTTTGTATTAAGTCTGTAGAATAATCTGCTCCAGGATACTTCTGATATGTTCACGAGCCTTTACCAAATATCGCCCTCACTAGGATCAGTTGCACATTGGACAATTCCCCAGATTGTGGATTTCCTAGAAATACAAAACACTATAAAAATAATTTCTACGCCCCCGTATTAATGTGGATGAAACGTCGACAGCACACTTTTCTGTTGTTCAATTAAAGCAACACTCACACCAGAGTGCAGAGGAATGTTTGTAATGTTTGAGAGGTCGCACAAGAAGAAGAAGCACCCTGATGGTACTGATCACATGACCCTGATGGTACTGATCACATGACCCTGATGGTACTGATCACATAACCCTGATGGTACTGATCACATGACCCTGATGGTACTGATCACATAACCCTGATGGTACTGATCACATGACCCTAATGGTACTGATCACATAACCCTGATGGTACTGATCACATGACCCTGATGGTACTGATCACATGACCCTGATGGTACTGATCACATAACCCTGATGGTACTGATCACATGACCCCTGTCTGTCTCCTGAGTTTTATACAGCCAAACAACAGGAAATGCCTTCTGGTGTCAGGACTTTTATTTTGTCCGATCAAAGCACATTATGTTCTGCAAGATGAGAGATAGCCATAAGCGTCTGATGCAGAAGAGATGTGTGATGCTTCTGCACGGTTCAATGTCAAATGTTTGATTAAGCTGTGTGGGTACGAGCGTCAGATGCCAATTAAACACTGAACTGATATAATGTTAAAGATGTGATAATACTTCACCTGAGTTGTTGCACTCTCCGTTGGGATGGGGTCTCATAACAAATCAGTCCAGTTCTCTGAATGTTAAAGGGATATTTTGTGTGTATTTGTACACAGATTCCCTGCTTTACCTTCCTGCCCTGTGCCGCCACCAAACTCCATTCACAAAAACACTCATTCTACAGAACACAGGAGGAGTTTCTGCTGCGTGTTGGTTACTTTGGTTTATTGTGTGAGCTTCGGTGTTAAGATGGGTTGGTTTGCATCCACCAAGGTCACATAATATCAAGAACAAACTAACCAAACTAGCCAGCGACCGACCAGCAACTCCTCTGTCCTGTGGGCGTGAAATAGCTTATTCTTTCAATGGAGCCTGGTGGCTTTAAGGAGAGCTCGTTAACAGCTTTAGTTCCTGTCAGAAATATAGAATAAGGCTGACATTATTCTCAATATAGTGTACATTCAATCTGATATTGCCCACAGACGTATATGGCTTCTCCTGGCTCTGTAGTAATACACTGACTGAGGAGAAACACCTTTCTCTGTAGCCTCTGTCTGGCACCACAGACCTCAGCATACAGGTTCATTTACAAAGGTATCATGAAGGAGACATGCATTTAGAGAGACGGTCAATTCATGGATTTGTGCAGAATAATTAACGTTATTTCCAGGAAACAAAAGGTGTTAAGTTAAGGTTCGGTTCGGCTAATGTTAACAAGGAAACAGCTCATATTTTTATAAAGCAGAACATATTCAACGTCAATGTTAGAACGATATTTAATGGAAATACAGAATTATTTTTAGAGTTGAGAAGAGACCCTGTTGACCCCTGGTTGACCCCTGGTTGACCCCCGTCCCAGCAGCAGAGTGTAATGAGCGGTGCTTCAGAGTCAGACCAGCATTCACGTGTCAAATCAACTGGATTCAAGTCTTTCAACGGTTTCTGCGTCTCCTTTACTTTCACAGATTAAACATTTTCCAAGAACACACCATACTGTAGTTTCTCTTGTTCTTCTCAACATGCATTTATAAATATTTATCAAAATACTACACTATGGTTGGTTGGTTCATATTTTCCGTCATACTATTGCAAAACATGTCAAACAGAAACATTTCGGCATCCGCAACTCCATCAGCAAACGCACGTTCCTCTCCAATACCCCAATGAGCTTTTCAACAGCTACATGTATTTTGGAATGAATCCAAGTAGTTGTTGATATTTCAGTCTAGACAAGAAGAAGAACATTGTAAAGAAATATTATTTGAATAAAGTTGATAAATGTACAAAACAATGGAAATGGTTTGTTATCAGTAAATTATACCTCTTTAGTAATATCTACATGTTCCATCCAGCAGTTAGGGATCAGGTCCCTTGATGCAACATCTCTACATTTTGGAATTTCTTTGCGGCAAAAATCATGTTACACAAGAAATATTTACAATCCCTTTCCGGAGTCGAGGCTGATCCTGTTGCTGTGGTCCTGCGTCCTGGATCCTCTATCCTGAGTCTTGGATCCTCTATCCTGAGTCCTGGATTCTCTATCCTGAGTCCTGGATCCTCTATCCTGAGTCCTGGATCCTCTATCCTGAGTCCTGGATCCTCTATCCTGTGTCTTGGATCCTCTATCCTGAGTCCTGGATCCTCTATCCTGAGTCCTGGATCCTCTATCCTGAGTCCTGGATCCTCTATCCTGAGTCCTGGATCCTCTATCCTGAGTCCTGGATCCTCTATCCTGAGTCCTGGACCCTCTATCCTGAGTCCTGGACTTCGAGTCGTGTCTGAACCTGTCTCTGCGGTCCTGCCTGACTCTCATCATGCTACTTCCCTGATGGCTCCCACAGGATTGTTGACATCCTCGTGGATTCATCTTCTTATTATAGACACATGCATTTCCAAACATTCGGTCTACCTACACTGTAAAATGTATTATCTCTTCGATTTACACACGGCATCTATTGCACGTCTGTCCGTCCTGGCAGAGGGATCCCTCCTCTGTTGCTCTCCCTGAGGTTTCTCCCATGTTCCTTTAAACTGTGGGTTTTCTCTGGAAGTTTTTCCTTGTACGATGTGAGGGTCTAAGAACAGAGGGTCTAAGGACAGAGGGTCTAAGGACAGAGGGTCTACGGACAGAGGGTCTAAGGACAGAGGGTCTAAGGACAGAGGGTGTTGTTTTCTCATACTCATATTCTGAACAAACTGTGCTGTTGTATTTGCTGTAAAGTGTCTTTACTGTAGGGTATTTTTATTATATGTACAGCACTTTGGCTCGACCAAAAATCGTTAAAAAATGTGCTATATAAATAAAACTTGATTTGATTTGATTTGATTTGAATTCAGTACATTAAGCTGTGACATACTTCCTACAGCCTACCTTTTCAAATCTTTAAATTTGAAAAGGTAGGCTGAAAAGTCATCGCCTCATTCTTGGAGAGGTCCACCCTGAGACATGTATTACATCCACATTACCCTGTGGACATAGAAATGTGATTGTAAAAAAACACAAGTATCATCCTTCAAAAGCAACGCCTGCTGTGTTTATCTGGATTAGTTGACCGTGCTGTAAAATGCAGCTGGATCCTCTCCAGAGTCCTGCCCTCTGGTCCTGAGAGATACATGATGAGATGTTAGTGGTAATAATAATGCAGAGGGAATTAAATGATATGTGAACAATGTTCCCGTGTGAGGAGGTGCTCACCTCGGGGTGAACCTGACGGCAGCGTACTCCTGCTGCTCCGTGTGTCTGAGGGGCCGAGCTGCTCTCATGTTGGAGTAAAGAGGGTCTGCCCGGTTGTTGGAGAAGTGAACGCTGGCATACTGAAGGTCATCCTGCTGCTCCGGCTGATCAGGTACACACAGCAGGGAGGAAAACACTTTAAACCACGCATTTTTACATTCATAGATATTTCATTTACAGAGGAATGGACCCAGGACAGAAAAGGCCAAAGCAACAGCAGCCGTGGTGATGATGGAAACATATCTCTGCTTCATCAACATGCTGCTTTATGACAGAAAAGATTAAAGGACAACAGATAGGAACACCTCTGGATGTACTTGGAATGTACTCACGTCTAAGAGGAGAGTCAAAGAGATTGTGATAGAAATGAACTTGTTATAGAAGGATGTAAAAAGAGCAGGTCCTTCTCTGTCAGATCAATGTTCTATAAGCACCTAAAGACCACCATCTTTATACATTGAGTGTAACATGTTTTCTTTTGTACTAGATTAATTACGTAAGCATCTCCTCTCACCTCTTCCCTGGTGTCCGCTCTCTCTTCTGGCTCAGACGAGTCTCTGGAAGCCCTCTTTCTTCTGGTCAGGAGAGTTTATGAAGAAACAGAAGATCAAATGTTTGACACCAGACAAACAGACTTTCAATGATTTAACAAACAACAATTAAGATGATCAGATCTGCTCACCTGATCCACAGGAAGACAGAGAGAGAAATGACAGCCAGGAGAATAACAGGGATTGTTACAGCAGCTGGTAGCTTCCATGATCCTGAGAAACAGAGATCAACAGAGAACACACAGTTAACACAGACAGTATTCATGCCCCTTTCGTCTCATTAGTATGCATACAAAGTGACAGGTGCTGTGACAGACCACACCTTTCCCTACTTATGCTAATGACCCCATTTGATATGCTAATGACCCCCTTTGATATGCTAATGACCCCATTTGATATGCTAATGGCCCCTTTGATATGCTAATGACCCATTTGATATGCTAATGACCCATTTGATATGCTAATGACCCCCTTTGATATGCTAATGACCCCATTTGATATGCTAATGGCCCCTTTGATATGCTAATGACCCATTTGATATGCTAATGACCCCCTTTGATATGCTAATGACCCCATTTGATATGCTAATGGCCCCTTTGATATGCTAATGACCCATTTGATATGCTAATGACCCATTTGATATGCTAATGACCCATTTGATATGCTAATGACCCCTGTGATATGCTAATGTCCCATTTGATATGCTAATGACCCATTTGATATGCTAATGACCCCCATGGATATGCTAATGACCCCATTGATATGCTAATGACCCATTTGATATGCTAATGACCCCCATTGATATGCTAATGGCCCCATTGATATGCTAATGACCCCATTGATATGCCAATGCCCCCATTGATATGCTAATGACCCCATTTGATATGCTAATGCAACCTTTGATATGCGAATGCCCGCTTTGATATGCGAATGCCCGCTTTGATATGCGAATGACCCCCTTTGATGTGCGAATGACCCCATTTGATATGCTAATGACCCCTTTGATATGCTAATGACCCCTTTGATATGCTAATGACCCATTTGATGTGCTAATGCCCCCCTTTGATATGCTAATGACCCCTTTGTTCGAGGTGTTATCACATGTAGGTGTGATATATTACCCCCCCTTAATTAAGCCTTTGATGTGAGGGGTGAGGTGTTATAACATAGGTGTGATATTACCCCCTCTAATAGACCCTTTGTTGTCAATCTAATCTAATGAACCTTTGATGTCTGTCCTTTGATGTGAGGGGTGAGGTGTTATAACATGTAGGTGTGATATTACCCCCGTTATTGTCCTCTCTAAATTCGATTATATTTAATATGATTAGTGTTAATTAAGGCAGTCTCTTTGAAGTTGTGTGAGACTGTCTCCCCCCCCCCCCCCCCCCCCTCGCACCCCTTCCTCTCCCCCTCCCCCCCCCCCCCCCCCCCCCTTCCTCTCCCCCCTTCCTGTCACCCCCCTGATTTTGCTGTGATGCCAGAAGATCGGGGGGGGGGGGTGGAGTTAGGTAAAAAAAGAAATCTGCTCAAACTAGATAAAAAGCCACTCACTAAGTCATCTAAAACTTTCAAAAAGAAAATGGCTAAGAGACGCATCGATATGGGTTTATACGGATGCAGTATCTGTGCCGGGTTCAGACCCCTCCGTCTGAGGCTCTTCATGAAAAATGGAGTCTGGATGTGTGAGTCTCCCCCTGTCCCCCTCACACCCCTTCCTCTCCCCCCTTCCTGTCACCCCCTGATTCTCTGATAGGGGGGTGGAGTTAGTTTAAAAAAGAAATACGCTCAAACTAAATAAAAAGCCATTAATCTTCACTCACTAAGTCGCCTAAAACTTTATTGTCCTCTCTAAATTAGATTAGTTTTTAATATGATTTGTGTTAACTAAGGATGTTCTTTTTAAGTTGTATGGCTTGCGAACTAATGTTTAATTACTTTATTAACTATAAGGAAGTCTCTTTTTGAAGAGGGTAATAATAATTTAAAATATCTTAATGACCCCTTGATCTTGTCTTTTTTTATTGTGTAATTACTTTATTATCTATAAGGAAGATGTACTGGTGTGTTTCCCTGGATGATGTAAATAGTCTAAGTGCCATGTTAGGGGGACAGCACGGAGCTCAGGAGGCCGCCCTGTGAGGCTTTGTTAACATTAATACTTTTTGCTTTTGCTTTTGTTACTAAGATACTTTTTAGATACACTTTGAAGTGAGCAACACTTTACAACTGGTAGAATAAATACTAAATTTGGTTTTCTTGGTAGAATATAAAGTACTTTGTATGGAATTGGGTTTCTTTAGGGCTGTTTCAGTGAGACAATGCAGTTTTTGATCATTTTAAGTTTCAAGTTTCAAGGCTTTAGGTCATATGCCCATTAGCTACAGTGTAGATATGTCAATGAAAAACATAGGTCAGACTCCAACAGTGCAACAAATATATATATATATATATATATATATATATATATATATATATATATATATAGAGCACATAAAACAGAACAAATGATATGACAGATTTGTGCGTAATTCTCTCACAAAGGAACTGTAAGATACACGTTTATGTATGCAAAAAGTTAAAACTAGAAAAAATGAAATACTTTGTCTAAATAGATGTTATTTAAGAATAAAAACAAAGCTAAATGTTTTCACAGAGAGCAGATGGAACAGTTATTCATACACTATATTCTCATTTTAACGCTTGTAAAGGTGATAAGCAAACAGATATTCTATGCAGATGATTGGAGCAAAGGACAGTGGCAACGCACGACAAGAAAATCCATCAAAAACACCAGTAACGTCTTGAGTTTCTACAATTCTACACCAAAATACATTTAACATGTTTCTGTTTGCCTTTTACACGAATCCATCCCACTTATTCCCACATGTGACCTGATTTAACAAGTCCCACATTTCCCAGAATCCCCTCTGTTCATGTGATGAGTGTAAGTGTAGATGTGCAGTACCTGACACAGAGAGCAGGAAGACGACTAACCCACTCGCTGCTGCAGGTAGACTCAGAGCTGCTCCTCTCCTCTCTGAGAGAAACATGTCAGATTAAATAATGTTCACAGGAGGTATACAGAATCATTACATCAAGAAACTGTTTCTACTCACAGTGAAGGAGGAACCATGTGTTCAAAGATGCCGTCTCTGTAGCAACGAGCTACTGACTGCTTATATTCTACTGACTGCTGATATACTACTGACTGCTTATATACTACTGACTGCTTACATACT